GTATATATGTATGTATGTATGTATGTATGTATGTATGTATGTATGTATGTATGTATGTATGTATGTATATTTATATGTATGTATGTATGTGCATGTGTATGTGACCTTATTCACACATACCCTATACCCATACCACACCTACGTTCATATCCTGCCAGGGTTGATGTCTGGCTTAACCATCGGGCTCCTGTCCTTAGACTCTACATCCTTGCTAGTTCTGAAGAACGGGGGGTCAACCAGTGACCGTATCCATGCGACGCGTATACTCCCACTGGTGGAGCGGAAACACGTGTTACTGGTTACGCTGTTGCTGTGTAATGCGGGGGCGTATGGAAGGTACGTGTACATGGCTGTAGGTGTGTAGTATATAACGTGTCAGAATCAGTCATACTTGTGTGCATACGTATACTACTACTAGTGGAGCGAAAACACAATTACTGGTTACGCTGTTGCTGTGTAATGCGGGGGCTATGGAAGGTACGTGTACATGGCTGTAGGTGTAGTAGGATAATAGTGTCAGAATCTGCCATACTTGTGTGCACACGTATACTACTACTAGTGGAGCGAAAACACGTGTTACTGGTTACGCTGTTGCTGTGTATTGCTGGGGCTATGGAAGGTACGTGTACATGGCTGTAGCTAAAAACGTACAGAAAAAAACCCCTAATTGACCGTACTTGCTTGCATACGGATGAGGTCGTGTGTGTAGTAGTAAAGCAAGTGGCATAAGCCATAACGGCACTCCTGACTGAGTTCATGTGTGCACATTTAACACTCGTTATTACACTTTAGTCGTGGGTTGGCTTCATGTGTTGTGTAGGGGTGTGTGCAGCTGACTGAGTTCATGTGTGCACATTTATCACTCGTTACTACACTCTGGTCGGGGGTTGACTACATGTGTTGTGTAGGTGTGTGTGCAGCTGACTGAGTTCATGTGTGCACATAACGTTTGCTTATTATATCATATTATCTCTTATTATCTCATATGTTATAATAACGTCTGCATGCTGTCTCATATGTTATATCATCTTCTCGTATCTCATATTATCTTATTATCTCATATATGATATATAAACGTCTGGTTGTTATCTCATATGTTGTTATATCGTCTGCTTATTATCTCATATTATCTCATATGATATAGTAACGTCTGGTTGTTATCTCATATGTTGTATCATCTGTTTATTATCTCATATTATCTCGTTATCTCATGATATAATAAATGTGTATGTGTAATCATGTACAAATCACGAAGAGAAGCTCAAATCAAGGATTGTCAGATTCAAACAATTTATCGTTGTAAAATGGCAATAGTTTTTTTTTTCAGTTCGCCGGAAAAGTACATCTTATATCGATGTGGTAGACACCAGCATCACATCCGCGTCCGACTATTGAGTCGCGTAACGCCGCCGATCAGCGGTTTTCCCGTATCGTCTGGTTGTTACCTTATATGTTGTTATAACGTCTGCTTTCTCTTATTTTCGCATATGATATAATTACGTCTGGTTATTATCTCAGATGTTGTTATATCGTCTGCTTATTATCTCATATCGTCTCTTATTATCTCATATTTTTAATAACGTCTTGTTGTTTCCTCATATGTTATAAAATTTGCTTGCTATCTCATATGTTGTTTTATCATCTGCTTATTATCTCATATGCTGTACTATCATCTGCTTGTTATCTCCTATGTTGTAATAACGTCTGCTTATTTTCTCAAATGTTAATAGTATCCTCTGATAATACCTGCTTCCCCTACCTCAGCTCTCCCAGTGTTTCTGGGTCACATGGTGCCTGAGGTGCCAGCCATTTTGTTGTCTGTGACGGCGGTGTTGTTATTCGGAGAAATCATTCCGCAGGTGAGTGGATGACATAGAGGGCCCATACCATTTGTTTTTATTTTTGTAGCAAACAAATCGAAGTATGTACACAGTGTTACATATGTATACCATTTGGTACATACTTTGTGTATGTCTTAACATTGTAGCATTTGGTACATATACATAGTTTGTGTATGTAGTATTTGATACACACTTTGTGTATGTCTTAACGTTTGTATAGCATTTGGTACATATACATAGTTTGCGTATGTAGCATTTGGTACATACTTTGTGTGTCTTTACATATGTATAGCATTTGATACAGATTCTACTATACTTGGCTATTTGTTCAGAGTACAGACTGGGGGTGGGGTGCGATGCCACACTCCTGCATTCCCGTATATAGATAAATCTATTTATAGCCTATACTATTTGCTCCCATATATAGTTAAATCTATTTATAGGCTGTTCTATTTTTGGCTTCTACTCCTCCAGGCGGTATGTTCGAAGTATGGGCTGGCGGTTGGGTACTATGCAGCGCCGTTGGTGTGGTTGCTGATGCTCTTCTGCACTCCTATCTCCTTTCCTATTGGTTGGTTGCTTGATCGCATCCTCGGTGTAGATCACGGCCAGTTCTATCGGTATGCTTAGAGTGGCAGACTTTACTCTGATCAGTGTAGATAGGTACTCGTATCCAAGTAGGTGCGTGTTATATATATATATATATATATATATATAATATATATATATATAATACATACATA